GTAATAATCGCTATCGGGTGTTGTCGTGTAGACGCTACATAATCGCTAACTCGAGTTAAGCGTCGTCGTGTAGACGAGGCTTGTATGTTTCTCTACTCTCCTTCACCTATTATTGCCGACAAGCCATGCTGCAAATGCTCCAGCTACTGCAACACACGCCCAGCGCACGCACGATGCTGTACGCTACTGCACACTTACACATAAATATAGTGTATATAGTTATACATAATAATATACATGCATATAAAATAGTTATACATAATAACTCTATATTTATGTATAGAGTGTATATAGTTATACATAATAATATACATATAAAATATAGTTATACATAATAACTCTACTATATTTATGTGTAAGTATGCAGTAGCATGCAGCAGCGTGCGTGCGGTGGGCGTGTGTTGCAGTGGCTGGAGCATTTGCAGCACGGCTTGTCGGCAATAATAGGTGAAGGAGAGTAGAGAAACATTATGACTGGTAGTAAATAGATTTCGCATTTATTTAGCATTATATTTTATTGAAACGCTCCAAGTGCCTGTGAGACATGCATGCTCCGTTTTCCTTTCTATCTCTTTTTAGCCGCATGCACGGTTCTGATTTCAATTGTCACAGCAAGCAGTACTGATTACATGGCTTCCTGAACCATGCCTGATGGGGCACAAGTGTGACAGCTTGTAAATTGAGCCACTGCACAGATCAGCAGCATCAGATATGTACAAGCCGGTCAGTTCGCATGCTGAGTTTACGCAAGTTCTTTCAGGGTCCATTGCTTGTTCTCCAGTTCGCTCTGCAGTCTACCGTATTCCTCAACGATCTCGTCAAACCCACTCCCTACAGACTGGTAGGTTGTCAGTGCCCGCACCACTGCAGTCATCTCCTGCTCATACTCGAGTCGTCTTGTCTGTAGGTGTAACCTGAGCAGGACAAATATGGCCATGTGTGCTGCTCTGATGAATTTATCATACACATATTCCACCATACACTGCTGATATAGCTCTCCACGCTGCGTTCTGTGCTACGACTTTTTTTTGCCAGAACCACTTTTTAACTTTCACTGAGTTTGTTTCAATTGTTTCACTGCAATGAATTATTCCACTGGCTAGGTTCTACGCAACTTACTATAATGTAATAGTTTACTTTCAATTGAATTATCTTAATTAAACATTTTATCTTACTATTAACTTCTGCTAAATTCAACCCTATGATTGTTGCTTGTGAATAGCAATAGTGATAGAGACGTGTTATTATTAATTATCATTTGGAATCACTTCTTGCTGGCATACGATTATAGATGCATGTTGGTTTGTTGTTGGCGGGTTGTCTGAAAAAAATGTACTGAATTGCTTTGAACTGTCGCATTTTTTTATGTTATCTTCTGGTTGGTTAAATTTTTCCTGTGATAACTCAAGTCAATATTCACCTGACTGAATACTTATATACTCACTTGATTTTTCCAAGGGCTTTTGTATTCTCTGCCATGTATGTATCCACCAAGAGTTGTAGTTCTAGTAGTCTGAAGAATACATATCAGAATAAACTACATTCACCTAATATGATAAAGAACAATTTAAAGTAAGATCACAATCTAATCCCAATCAGCTTTTATGAAATCAATTTCGACATTACTTTCCACTCCATTAACTTTTGCATATAGGAAAAGGCCGAATTCCTTTACCATGTTTACCGGTGTACTGTACATACGTGGCTTACGTAGTGGTCAAACGTAGCAAGTTGATTAGGATACCATGCACCACAAAAACCATTATAAATCCCACCTGATCTTAAGACAGAGAGCTTGACAACGGGCAGACATGCGCTCCACACTTATTGCGTCACTCCGTGCTTGACAGCCTAGCTTATGATTCAGAATGATCTGTTCCAGCCCACAGAGAGACTTTACTAAAGCCTGAAAGCAAACAGACAAAACATATGCGTGTGCGAGCTACCCTCATAGACTGTGATGTGTAACACACACACGCACGCACACACTAACGCACGCACGCGTGCACGTACGGACACTCACACACGCGCATACACACACACACACACACACTCACTCAAGCACACACGCACAGACACACGTATGCACGCAAGCACAAACACAGTGAAACTCGCACATAATGTGATTTTACAAGAGTATTCAATAGAAATTAATATTCAGATAAAATCAAGAAGTTAGACATCGCAGGCTATGTTAAAATAGGCACATTCACAGCAGCATTAAAACCAACTCTAAGCAATTGGTGCCAACAAATATCAACATTTTAAAAATTCGTTACATTTAGGAGGTCGCGGTAATTCATGCCCAACTTGAAGCACAGAATTTTTGAGCTGTAACATCCAACTTTATTTTAGCTGTCAAATATTGCATTAGACTGACTTCCTTTAGGTACCTCATAATAATGCCAGTAGTGTTTAGTCCGCTTTTGCCTGTCTTGCTGCAGAGCTTGTTCTTCTCGTTTTAATTGATGTATTTCTTCTTCTACAATTCCTGGTAATTGGATAGCTTTACCTAGCACGGCTACTTCATTCCCTGGAAAATTGAATAATTGAGACGAATGAAGCTGCACACATAGTGTAGCAGACTTCCATGTGTATGTTGACAATACATATTACTAGATTATATGCCTCGTTTACATAAAAGTATATGATAGGTGTGAGCCAGCTGAATACAGGGATATCTCCTTATTTTACATGGTAGTAAGATACCAGATCAGATACTGCCTCACATTTTCGTTTGTCAAATACCCATTGCAATCCACACATTTTCCACACTGGCAACACACCAAAATGCACCATACATGATATCCTAAACTTGTTTTTGTTGTCCTAACTGCTTACCATGGTGTTCCTGAAAATTGTCTGATATCTGGAGCAACACACTGCCATGACTGCCCTATCTAGTTTTCCTCTGTTCCCTTTATATAAATTCCTTGTTATTTAACCTTCTTTGTCCCACATTAAATGTATCTCTAAAGGTAAGTGGCTTTAATACCCCTTCTTTGAACTCTCCGACTTGCCATGGTGCCCAAGAATTTTTTATTGAACAAACAGCAGTACCCGGGTGCTTGCCTTGCCCTCAAAAAATTAAAATTAAACCCCTGATCCCTGATAACTTGTATTTTGAAAACAATATAGGCCAACTATCTATGATCAGATTGGGTAAGTATTTCATATAGGAGAAAACACTGCAAACAGAAGCACAAACCTTTAGGTATGTCACTGCAGTCATGAAACTGAGATAAGGTTTTGCACTTCTCCTGCCATCTTTGTTCGAGCTCAGCTATCACTGGTGATATATCGACCTGGAACGCATATTCCTCAAGTAAATATGCTATTTGTGGAGAAGAAAATTATATATATATATACTTGAATATATCAAAGGTTTTGAACGAAATTCATGTAGCTATACAAACTACTTTTTTGATATAAAGCAACATGTACTTGCAAGTCGTAACTTAGACAGATGTTAGTATACTATCTTCACACAGATTGAGGCTTATTCATATCGAGATAGATCTAATGCAAATTGTGCATATATATGCATGCAAAAACTGATCTTTAAATTAAGATTAGATATCACTATGACATAGATATGACCTTTGCTAGCTGACCTGCTCGGGACAAGATTTGTCAATAATGTCTTTGGTGATGCCAAGCATGTCTGTAGATCGTTTCTCAGGTCTAGTCTCCACCTTGGTGTCCGCCCTGTGTGAGCTGACATTGTAAATGTAGTCGGCGATCTCACTGTGCGTAAGTTGAGTTTGGAGTTGTTTGTAGACCTACAGAACACTCGTGCATTACTGAGTGTGAATCATTACATGTTACTATAGTTAACAGATTATCACAGGTCTATTATCTAATTAATTACATGCATTGTTTTTGAAATCCACTGATAATGCTGTTCATCAATTGCAATTAATAACAACATGCAATCTACTTCTATATATAGATATTATTAATTTTATAATAAATTATAGCAATTTAATTACAATATTAAAACTATGACTGTATAAACAAAATTGATAAATTATTCCAAATTTTTTTTAATGCATATTCAGATGTAACTACTACGCAGAAGTACTAGATGCATGTTAATTCCTAGAAGCACATGTACACAGCTACATTGCTCGTTACCTGTTCCTTTTGACGTGATGTGTCTGAAACTATCTGATGATCCAACAGTAACTCTTGAAGTTCATGGTAGATAAGTAACTGCTGAAAGTACTTCGCCTTGGCCGCTTTTAATCTGTTTTCACTCTGCATGAAACATTTTGGCAACTTCAATCAGTAGGCTTCAGCATCACAATGTGCCGCCCAAGACAAACATGACTTAATTGGGAAAAAAACTTCCAATACACAAGCACACAAAAATGCATGGCGAAATATATGGTTATTAGTTATTACCTCATATTATAGATCTAACTGAGATAAACTTTATTTTTATGTGAACTACAGAGATCCGATAAAATTATTTAATCGGTTATTACCTCGTTTAACTTCTGTAGTTGCTGTTTACGCTCACATTTGTCAGTCATATGCTTGCCAAGTTCTCGCAACAAATGTGCAAATTCGGGATTTCTTTCCAGATCGTAATCAGTCACAAATGATGGCAAAAATTTATTTTCTGCAACAAATATGTTGGAATTCATGAAATACTTTTCAGGTTTACAGACAATATAATAATATACGAGATCATACTGTTCTAAATTCCTTTTGATCACAGCAATGGTTTATCGTCTAGCTTCCTAATGTTAGCATATCCTGTAGCATATAATTTGTGTATGCCATATGGCTGCAAATAATAAACAGGCCTCGACGCTTATTTTCAGATCTGGTTGTCCTGTCGGGCAACAAGAAGCAATTTTTACTTGTCCAAATTTTGGTTTTACTTGTCCAAAATTTACTTGCATTCTAGAGTAGCAGGTGCATTTTTAGTTCAGTGCTTATTATATTACAGTATAAACATGGAAAATCGTAATAAAATTCTCACGTTTATGTATGCATTTTTTCTCAAGCTTTCCAGGTAAGAGTTTTGCTGTGGCTCTCTCATACCAGCTGTGCCCACCCCCTACATATTCAATAATGACATATTATATTATATTATACTATATACCCATCTATATTAATTTATGTGCAAATCTGCGCCGGCATGTGTGCGGTGTAGCTGTGTCAGTGTGTTCAGAGGAATATTTTAACGGCATTTCCACGAAATTATCGGCAATAATAGACGAAAGAGAGTAGAAAAACATTAAGACTTTGGTAGTAAATACATTTCGTGTTTATTTACCATTATTACTTTTTATTGAGACGTTCCAAGTGCCTGTGGCTGTGATTGTGTCTGTGACGGTATGACGATCGAGGCTAATTAATTATTACGTACAAATAAATACTAAGATAGGCCTACAAACGACCTGTACATTGGCATTTTCCAGGCGATAAGTGAGATTGGCGGTATTACGAGGGGCGGATGCCAGGCCCATGGTACTGGTAGAAACACATCAGATTTAGCTCTAGTACTATAGCCCGCTTACATTGACTGCCCGCTGGCCAGCGGCAGTCAATGTAAGCGGGCTATAGTACTATAGTCTATAGAGTATAGAGCTATCAGATTCAATAATCGTTAACAACACACATAAACATAAGTGTTAGGCCCTACTTGTGCTTATTCAGTTATTGTGTGTTCCTTGAAATTGACGAGAGAGAGTTGACAACTATGCCTAGGCACTGTCTGAGACTGTAGGTCACTAGTTGTAACTTGTAAGTTGTAGTTGGGCTCGTAGTGCTCTCTAACTAGACCAATAAATTGTGGCCTAAAAATTTAACAACATCAGAATATAAAAATTTTTAGGGCACAATTTATTGGTCTACTCTCGAACCACTAACTGTGTAATATCCATAGAAACTATATCTACATTATTTCTATGGTAATATCTGACACCTACCACTATCATTGAAATCTTTTGGCATCTTGAGAAATGAAAACGTGAAGTCAAGCAAAAACTGAAAAAGTTGTGAACTTGAAAATAGCGGGGTGTTCCGTCCGTTCATCGACTTCCGTGTGACGCACAATCACATTGCGATGACCAACAGGGGGCAGCACTTAGATGCACAGTCTACATCCGGTATATTCTGCTATTATGGTGTTTCCAGGGGCGCGTTGTCAGAAACTTCGTAAAGTTAATGCTAATGTTTATGCTAAGATAGCATTGTTACGACTAATTTGGTTTCTGACAACGGGCCCCAGGTACAACCATGGGTACAACACTGGGAATTCATTTCCCATTGGCGCACCACACTTACGAAAAAATTCCCATAAATCAGCAGGTTTTTGTGTGAAATCACAGTGTTATCCTTGAATCCACGTCGCAAGTGACACCATATATGTTATTAACTCAAAAAAAATTCATAATTCTTTTTGTAAACAAGCTTTTGCAAAAGCCGGCACACACTCGAAATGGCCACTTTCAGTTTGCAATGCGATTTTACGCGAAAAAGTAGGCACTCGCAGCTAGGGCCTGCATACCTCCCAACTCTCATTGGTTGATACAAATATAGTTAATTTTTAAAATTAAATTCTAAATGCACCATAAAAGGAATTATTAAAACAGGAGTTTCAGGCACGTGATTTGTATCAACCAATGAGAGTTGGGAGGTATGCAGGCCTTAGCTGCGAGTAAAGTAGGCTTCCTTCGAAAATTCCCCGGCCATCCCAGCAACGCACCCCGGACGAGCTACTTACACTGTCGGATTCAGCAAAGATTCTAGTTTCTGAAATTGATAATTACAAAAAGTTCTAACTTTTTCTAATGAGAAATAAAAAAATTCAAGCGCACGCCTACACTAAAATACGATATTATTCCCCACCATAATACCCAAACTCCACGACAGATTGCGCTCTCGCTCTGGCTTATTTAGGGTCCCCACAGACTAACGGATACACAGACCATAGAAATAGATAGACAACATAATAACATAGAAATAAATATATATAACATAGAAATAAATAGATAGACATAGAAATAGATAGGTTGTCTATCTATTTCTATGGGTCCCTGTATACAGGGTCTCTGTATATAGGGACCCTAAGCTTATTCAGTTCGCATCCTGCAGCCGGCTGAAAGGGGTGGTAGGATATGTTTACTAGGCATTTCTAATTTTAACATATATTTTAAATTTAATTATGTCAGGGTTAGGGTTAGGGTTAGGGTTAGAGTTAGGGAACTTTTTAGGGTTTTGCATCATTCTTTAATATATCGTAAAATACATGTTAAAATTAGAAGTGCCTAGTAAACATATCGTACCACCCCTTTCAGCCGGCTGCTCGTATCCTCAGGTACGAAGGGGGCACTGCATGCAGTTTGCATAATACCAGGAGCGTATAATGATTTGTCATTATACGCTCCTGG